TGTATTTTAGAAAAATTACTTTGGCATCAGAGTGAAGATGATTTGGGAAAAGATTAAACTTGAGACCAGGTAGGAGTTAAAGAGTGCCCAAACTGAAGCATGGCTTTGCTTTAGATATGGAGGAGACAGTCTGAGGAAGGAAGTAGTAATATCATCAGGTCTCACTGATGGTATAGGAGAGAAAGAGGAAGAAAATTGGTAATCAATAATCACCTGTCTTTTTTGCTTCTCCTGAATGCATTTTGCTATCTGTGTGGAGTAATATATTGTCTCCAGTAGTAATATTAATTTCATTTATACTCATAATTTTAGATAATTGCCTTTAGACAATACAGATTATAAACTATGGAAATGAATTGTTTCCTGATTCTAGTTTATGTAGTTTATATACCAAGTTTTGAATGGTCTTGAATTAAGGTGTGTTTTATGTGATTTAATAATTTAGATTATAAACATACATGCAAAAAAACCCCCATGAAACAAAACAAAAAATAAGCATACATACAAGGGTGTATGTCCTAGGTCATGATGTAAAATGTATTTTTTCCTGTAGGGTATAGTGAATAAAGATGGAAAAACACTGAAGTGAAGCATGTTTATTATTGTTTAATAATAAGGTACTATATCAGCCGTGGGCAAACTACGGCCCGCGGGCCGGATCCAGCCCGTTTGAAATGAATAAAACTAAAAAAAAAAAAAAGACCCTACCCTTTTATGTAATGATGTTTACTTTGAATTTATATTAGCTCACACAAACACTCCATCCATGCTTTTGTTCCGGCCTTCCAGTCCAGTTTAAGAACCCATTGTGGCCCTCAAGTCAAAAAGTTTGCCCACCCCTGTACTATATCTACAATGTTAGATCACAAAAATTCTCTCCTCTAATATACATGATACACTGAAGTGGTACCTGACTTTTAAGTTGTCTCTCAACTCACCAGTCTCAGAAAATGACTTCATTTTATGGTTTGTATTATTTTTTTTTATCATTCTAGTAAAATATATCAACAATTCTTTTTTTAAAAATATGTTTTTATTGCTTTTAGAGAGGAAAAGAGAGGGAGACAGAAACATTGACGATGAGAGAGAATCATTGATCGGCTGCCTCTTGCATGCCCCCTACTGGGAATCGAGACCGCAACCCTGGCATGTGCCCTTGGTCGGAATCAAACCCAGAACCCTTCAGTCCCTGGGCCCACACTCTATCCACTAAGCCAAACCAGCTAGGGTTATCAACACTTCTTGATTCCACCTTTGGGTATATAGCTGAAGAAAGCCAAACACTAATTTGAAAGAATATATGCACCCTTGGTTCATTGCAGCATTACTTACAATAGCCAAGATATAGAAGCAACCCAAGTGTCCATCAGCAGAGGAGTGGATTAGAAAGCTGTGGTACATATATACAATGGAATATTACTCAGCCATAAAAAAGAATGAAATCTTACCTTTTGCGACAGCATGGATGGACTTAGAGGGTATTATGCAAATGAAATGAGTCAGAGAAAGACAAATACTATATGATCTCACTTATAGTATGTTTATTATTGTTTAATATTATTACAGTACCGGGGAGGAGCCTGCCACCGAGGTACATACCCTTGACCAGAATCGAACCACTGAGCCAAAACGGCTAGGGCTTTGTTGTATATCTTTAATTGAATCTTCTACAATAGGCATGTGTTACATTAGTAAAATTAGTGAAAAAATAACATTCAAAAAATTACCTAAAATATAACATTAATACCAATGACATGAAGTTGATATGATTCAGGGAACAATTTATTCCCGTATGATTATTAAACACTAGACTTGGACTTGTATCTCTCATGTCAACAACAAACCAATGCATTACAATTTGGGGGAAGCTCCTTTCTGGGTACCTCCAAGATGTGTGCAGAAAAAGGCCAGAATTTGCTTCCAAGCATCTATCTGGGCCTTAGAATGAGCCCTGGGCTCCCCACCCCAGATCACAGGCTTATTCAGTAATCTGTGCAGGGAAGCTGGGCACATGGGAAAGTAAGGAGGCTCGATGTAATGCCCAGTGCCAGGGTAAGAGATGATCTGAGGTTTTTCCTTCCCATGGGTCTGTAGCCGTTCAGAGGCTATTTGGGCATATAACTCACTCCTCCAGTTATGGTCGTCCTGACCAACGATGAAGAGGATAGGCCCCTTGGCCTTCTCTATTGGAATCATGCTGGGGTTTTCACACCCTCCTACAATATCATTCCGTATATCCACAATGTCCAGGAGGCCTGAGAAATGTGTCTTGATTCTCCTCAGGTCATGGCCCAATGGTGGGATGCAAGTATCCTTGTAGCATATGGCTTTGCTTCCACTGAACCCAGATCCATTGATGGAAACTGTAGCTGAGATGTTCTTCAAAAATGAGGCCATGGAGAGACAAATATCAGCCCCTAAAGAAATGCCCAGAAGGCCAATGCCTGGGCCTTTTACCTGGAAGAAAAGAAGGGAGAAGAGTCAAGAGTCAAGAACCTACCCAATAGAAAAATGTTTTTCTACATGCAACTAGATGTGCCGCTAGATTTAATATGTGAACTGGGCACAAGAGAATCAAACTAAGCTGATAGGCGTTTCTTCCCACATAGTAAAGAATATCTGGCTGGACACACAGCAAACACATCTTTAACTCACTGGCAAGTTTGGGAATTGGGTACACACATTCCAGAGAATCGATTGTCCATTAGAGAACGCTGAGTCATGGAGCCTGGCAAGTTTAGGTGGGCATGGCCAATGTGTCAACATGCCTGGGTATCTAACTGCGTGGAACCAAGTTCTGCTTCAAGAAGTGAATCATTTATCAGACCCCATCAAAATATGTCAGCAAATGATTAACTTTATACAAACAAAGTGAGATTTCAGTGGTTCTTAGCTTCTGAAATGGGTGGGCAAATTCTGATCAAAATCTGAGAACATACTCTGTTGTCAGAAAAAGATTAAAAAACAAGTATACAAAACAAACAAATCAGAAGCTCCATAACAATAGGAATTTTAATATTACTAAATAATTCCTTTAAATAAAATCTCACATGTATTTCATGGTTAATTCTGCATTGTGACTCCATCTGACAGAGAAAGTGGAACTAGGCACATAAAGTCAAGGAGTCTCCAAAAGAAATCTCTGTGAAAGAGAGTAGAGCACCATCAGAAGAGTATCACTGGCACAAATGCATGCAAAGTGATACCTTCTGGAGATATATGGAGAGAGAATGATACAATAAAGGACATTAGGAAAACCTGAGAATGTTGAAGCATGTAGCACAGGGCTTCTTCAAAGTAGTCCGTATTTCTGCTGTCGAATTCCTTGGGGAGATCTTCAAAGCCGTAATAAGCTAGAGCCATTGTGGCAAAGCCATGGCCAGCCAGAAGGCTGGCTCGATATTCCAACAGGCCCCCTCCAACACCAAAGAGATCAATGATCCCGGGGAAAGGTCCAGGTCCTAGAGAAGGGAATATTATAAAAGGAAGGTATTGTATTATTTAAAGGTTTTGCTTTCCTTTTAGGCATCTTTCTAAATTATTTAGTGGGTTCATGTGAAGCAAAGGGAAGAAAACAGCTCCCTGAATCACTACTGAAAAGGAAAGGAAGGTCCTTAGGGGAAGGAAAACCTATAGGGTACCTTCTCATTGATGAGTTTACCCTTCATATGATTCTATGATAAATTATCTGCAAGAGAAGTAGACATAGAATCAAGAATCTAAGGGCACATGCCTGGGTTGCAGGCTCAATTCCTGGGGATCCAGCAGGAGGCAGCCAATCAATGATTCTCATCATTGATGTTTCTATCTCTCCCTCTCCCTTCCTCTCTCTGAAATCAATAAAAATACATTTTTTTAAAAGAATCTTAAAACAAAATTTTGTGTTGTATTGCATCAACCCTTGGCTTTTTGTTGTGTATTCATATTTCAGCTGTCTATTTAGATCTAGATAAGAAATACCTAGAGATGACTTTAGGTGAAGAAGCCGGAAAGTCTGAAGTGTGCTCTGTGGTAGAAAGGAATGCGAAACGGAGGCGAGGCCCAGTGTACCCAGGCCACTAGGGAAGGGTGACATGGCAATAGCTTCCTTGACCATCATTTTGCGGAGACCTGTACGGCTGATGCTGAGAGGCCTGTAGAGTAGTTCATAGCAAAGTGGACAACATACCTACCGATCCTGATCCAGCTTTTTTTTTTTTTTTTAAATCTGCGTAACAGTACCCACCTCATTGGGATATCATATAAATTAAATGAGATTATGCAAACGAAGTACATAGCTCAGAGCCTAACATCAAAACACTCTGTTTTGGTTGTGCGGCCACTTATTTAGTCAAATGCCAACCTCTCTGACCCTGCCTCCGAGCCAAACTCTCCTAACGCAGTACAGCAACCACTAAGGGCCAAGCGCACCTGCTCGCGCGTCTGCGGCCGCAACCCGGGCTCACCTGGCGGCAGGAAGAGCGTGGCGCGCACCCGGCCCGCGCGCACCGGCTGCCGCCGCACCCCGGGCGCGAGGAAGTGGCGCACGTGCACCGTCCGGGCGAGGAACCGCCCTCCGTCAGGCTCGTGGCCGTCGAGCACCTGCAGCTCCACGGCGAAGGGCGTCTGCACGTCCCGCTTCACAAACCGCCAAAAAGGCTTCTCGGGCTCCAAGGCCCAGAAGAGCCCCATGGGCTCCGGCCCCGCGAAGCTGCCGCCCAGCGCGGGCGCGCGCGCCAGGTCCAGCTCGCCGCCGGCGTCGGCGCGGTAGCGCGCGTGGGCCCGGAAGAGCACGTCCCTCTCGTCGCGCAGGGACGATCTCAGCGTGACCCGCTGCTCCGGCGCCAGGCCGCGCACCACGATTCGCACGGGCTCGTCCCAGCGGCAGCGGCCCGCGGGCTCCACCGTTACCGTCACCGTCGCCGTCGCCGTCGCCGCCATTCTGGCCGCGCGCTGCGCTGTCCGGACGGCGAGCGGGGACGCGCAGGCCGGGCCGGAACCCCGTTGCAGCCGGCGGGAGCGCGCCGGGAGGTCGGGCGGGATCAGCTCTCAGGCTCCAGGGGCGGCGGGCGGCTCGGTCATCTGCGGGGAAGTCTGGTCTCTTCAGAGCCGGGGACCGCGGGCCGGGGACTCGACTCCTCCGAGGTAAAAGCACCGGCGGCTCTCCTGCTCCGGGCGGGGCGGGGCGGGGGGCGCAGGGGCGGCCTGAGGTCCGGGCCACCCCACCCGGCGGATGCTTCTCAGCCTCAAACCACCCTCACCTGTGGAAGTTGCTGGGCAATAGATTCCTGGTGAAGCCAGCACTGAATGAGTTTAGGCAGAATTCCAAGCATTCCAGCCCCTCCCACAGGAGAGGGTAACTAAAAAAAGAAAAACTCTTCTTGGATTCTAAAACACGCTCGGATCAGTTCCAAGAATTTCCACCCCCCGAACATACACGCATAACCAAGCGTTGAGATCCAGGAGCACCATGGCCAGCACCCCGACGGCCACTTTCACTCCCCCTTCCCGGAGGCACTCTACCCTGGCTCCCACAAAACGTGTTTGTTTTTTTTCTGGCCGCTGTTTATGGAAATGAATCCTTCAATGTGTTTTCTTCAGTATCTTTCGTTTCTTTCTTCCTCATTTCTTTTTATGACTCCTCACCCGAGGATATTTTTTCCCCATTGATTTTCAGAGTGGGAGCGAGGAAGCGGGGAGGAGGGAGAGAGAAACACCAACGTGAGAGAGAAATATCCATGGGTTGCCTCCCGCAGGCACCCCTGACGGGGGCGAGGGATGGAAATGCAACCCAGGTACACGCCCTTGACGGAGAATGGAACTCCAGACCCTTCGCGGGTGGCCAAGGCTGTAACCATTGAGCGCATCAAGCAGAGCTGCTTTAGTGTCTCTGCTTTTGCTCAGTGATGACACCGCCATCTGCTCTCTGTCTGCTCTGCCGTTGGTGATATCAGAAGGAGGTGGCTGTCCAGTAATTGGGCTTCATGCTTCTTTGTTCCTGTTTAGCGGGAGAGCGAGAATTCCAAGTATGTGACTGAAATTACCTACTTTCCCCTGGATGGAATGTTGAGATGGGCTTACACCAAACCAAGGATCACCATTATTTAATACCCTTGCATCAGGGTGGAGTTGGCTTAGCCTGGACGCCTAGGCCAGTGGTTGGCAAACTCATTAGTCAACAAAGCCAAATATCAACAGTACAACGATTGAAATTTCTTTTGAGAGCCAAATTTTTTAAACGTAAACTATATAGGTAGGTACATTGTTATTAACTTAATTAGGGTATTCCTAAGGCTTAGGACAGTGATGGCGAACCTTTTGAGCTTGGCGTGTCAGCATTTTGAAAAACCCTAACTTAACTCTGGTGCCGTGTCACATATAGAAATTTTTTGATATTTGCAACCATAGTAAAACAAAGATTTATATTTTTGATATTTATTTTATATATTTAAATGCCGTTTAACAAAGAAGAATCAACCAAAAAAAATGAGTTTGGGTGTCACCTCTGACTCGCGTGTCATAGGTTTGCCATCACTGCTGTAGTCTATAAGAAAAAGCTGCCCTAACTGGTTTGGCTCAGTGGATAGAGCATCGGCCTTCGGACTCAAGGGTCCTGGGTTCGATTCCGGTCAAGGGCATGTGCCTTGGTTGCGGGCACATCCCCAGTGGGGAGTGTGCAGGAGTCAGCTGATCGATGTTTCTCTCTCATGGATGTTTCTAGCTCTCTATTCCTCTCCCTCTCTGTAAAAAATCAATAAAATATATATTTTAAAAAAAAGAAAAAGAAAAAGCTGACAAAACAAAAAGCACTGTACTGTTTTTGAGTTTCAGGAGAAAAAATGTCAAGAATTGCTTTATTAAAAAAATGTAATTGAGGAAATAACACCATAATCACAAGGTAAAGCATTTTTTATTTTAAATACATTAACCTTTAACAGAAAGTGTTGTATTAAGTCGTTGTTTATTTTCACATTAATCATTGTTAAAATCACTTATGTAATTCATCTAAATAATGTTTTGCCAGCTTTCAAAACTAAATCATAAAGGCCCATGTGTGTAACCAGAAACATAACTTAAAATTTATTTGTACTAGGAGAATACTTATTCATCTAAGAAGATATCAAAGAACTGAAAATATATTTGCTGTGAAAATTTTTAGTAGTTTTACAGCTAAGTAGTAATCCAACTAGTAATTTATAGCTAAGATGTTCACTTCCATTCTTTTTTTGTTTGTTTTAAATATGTTTCTTATTGATTTCAGAGAGAGAGGAAGGAAGCTGGAGAACAAAAGAGAAACATCCATGAGAAAGAAACCTCAATCATCTGCCTCCTATGGAGATGGAGCACGAAACCTGGGCATGTGCCCTCTCCAGGAATCTAACCTGTGCCCTCTTGGTTCATGGGATGACACTCAACCAACTGGACCACACTGGCCCTGTTCACTTCCGTTCTTGTTTGTTGTTTTTAATCCTCACCTGAGGATATTTTCCATTGATTTTTAGAGAGAGTGGAAGTGAGGGGAGAGACAGAGAGAAACATCAATGTGAGAGAGACACATGGATTGGTTGCCTTCTGTAGGGCCAGGGATCGAGCCTGCACCCGAGGTATGTGCCCTTGACTGGAATTGAACCCTCAGTCCTCGGGCTGACACTCTAACCACTGAGCAAGACCGCCTAGGGCTCAAATATGATAATATTTTTGATATTATATGCTGTGAAAAGCCACAGCCAGCGTGGCTTTCGGGTTCAAAGGCTTGGAGAAAGAGCTGACGCGCAAATTAAAACACAAGTCAAAAAATAATAATTTTGAAATTATGGGGGGAAGCCAGGGAAAACTCAACTGCAGTAGTCAAGTTCCACTGAGTCTCCCTTCCCAGCTGCTTTTATTTACTAGAATACACAACTGCATTTTAGGAATGCAAACAGACATATCAATGGTAATGTTTAGTAAACAGTAAGATTATCAGGTTTGGGGGGAGTTTGCTTTAGGCCATTGAGTCAGCAGTAGGTAATAAAATGCAAATATTCACCCTGTGAATATCAAGAGCCCAAATTCAGCCTTCTGGCAGACTAATCGCATTTATATTAATTACTGTTGATCTTGGTTTCCAGCAATATGCTTTTCTTGTATGTTAGATAATCATTTATTACTAGAGGCCTGGTAAACGAATTTGTGCACCAGTGGGATCCCTCCACCTGGCCTATGGGATCAGGCTGAAACTGGCTCTCTGACATCTCCTGAGGGGTCCTGGATTGCTAGAGGGCACAGGCCAGGCCAAGGGACCCCACAGGTGCATGATCGGGCCTGGGGAGGGACTGCGGGAGGGCTCCAGGGCATGTCTGGCCCATCTTGCTCAGTCCTGAATGGCTGGACTCCAGCAGCAAGCTAACCTACCAGTTGGAGCGTCTGCCCTCTGGTGGTCAGTGCACATCATAGTGAGTGGTTGAGTGGCCTTAGCATATCATTAGCATTTTTTTTTAAATTAAAGTTTTCATCTTTAATGAAATGACTTTGGAAATAATGTCTATTTCCATGACACCAATACTATAGTGCTCGGAGTCACAGTAAGGTACACAGAATTACATCCGTAATTAATATGAATGCCAACATTTCAAGCAGTAATTTCTGTTACATGGCAAACAACATCAAGAAAGCAACCATCAAACAAAAAAGACCCATAGCTTCAGATAAGGCAAATCTCAGGATAGCATATGAGAACAGCTGCTGCTTCAGCGAAGGGTTTCTGGCATAACCAATGATAAGGCTGCCAAAGACTGTTCCAATACCAGCACCAGAACCAGCCACTCCTACTGTTGCAGCACCTGCACCAATAAATTTGGCAGCAGTATCAATGTCTCTGCTGATTGCACTGGTCTGAAACTCCCTTTGGATTAGCTGAGGCACACCATTCTGGGCCCCATTAAATACTGTAGAGCCCTCTCCAGTCCTAGCCTCTGGTCGAGATAACACTGATGCAGAAATTGGTCTGTATGCAACTCTGGATCCAGCTCGGATCAGAGCGGGGCTGCAGGCGAGCTTGGCGCAGGCGAACATCTTACACTCCCGGGGCGGCGTGGCTGGAGACTGGGTGGCAGTCGGCGTGGGCTCCTCTCCCGCTTTCTTTCAGGAGGCGGCGGCAGCGGTGGCGGCAGAGGTCGAAGGAGTGGGGCCTATCATTAGCATATTATGTTTTGATTGGTTGAACGGATGACTGCACAACCGAACACTTAGCATATTAGGCTTTTATTATACAGGATTAAACAAATTCAACAAGTAATAGTAAATAATTAAACAAATAATTACTGAGCATCAATTATGTACAAGTCACTATTAATCAGTATTCTCACTTTTCCTTTCAGAACTAAAGCCTTGTGTGTTGGGAGAGACTGAAAGGTATGCCTTGTCCATCTGTTATGTTCTCTTTTCCTCCTAAACAACTGAAAAGGCATGTAGTTGACAAAAATCATGGAAGTTCATTGGTAAGTTCATTTTAACAGTAAGGAAGGAAAAACTAAGTACTTATTAAAAAGAAAAAAACTACATTTATACACTAATTGCAACCGCGGTTCCCAGGATAAATTAACCTCAGAGATGCCACACAAATAAAGGATTACAGTGTGGGTGGGATTATCCCAAGTGTTTGTGGAAAAAAATCTGGAGTTGCTTCCAAGCATCCACCTGGGCCATGGCATGAGCCCTGGGCTCTCCTCCCCAGATGACATTTGTGCCCAACAGGGAGTGCAGGGAGGCCCGGCACAGGGGAAAGTAAGGAGGCTCAATGTAGTGCCCCACTCCTGGGTAACAGATTATCTGCGGCTTCTCCTTACCATGGGCCTGTAAGCGTTTAGAGGCCTCATTAGCAAAGAATTCACTCTTCCAGTTGTGGTCATCCTGACCGACAAGGAACAGGAAGGTGCTCTCAGACCTTTCCACAGGAATGAAACTCTTCTGGTCGGGTCCTTCCAAAGGGCTGTTCAGGACATCCAAAATGTCTGCAAAGCCGTCCTTGGTTACCTTGATTCGATTTTGGTCGAAACCGAGAGGCTGCAAGGTCTCATCCTTGTAGTGTAAGGCTCCTCCGACATTGGCCACGGAGCCATTGATGATGACTGCAGCAGTGATGCCCTTCAGGAACGAGGCCATGGAGAGGCAGAGATCGCCTCCTTTAGAAATCCCAAGCAGCCCAACTCCTGGGCCCTTTACCTGAGATAAGGACAGAGGAATAATAATGAGCCCATGAATCAGTCTGGTGAGTAGTACCTGGAATTGGAAGTCAGTTGGAACTGAGCCTAATCTGGGCTCTGCCATTTACCAAGGTTTGTAACCTGGGATATTTACTTATTCCTTCTTTCTATCTTCCCTTCCACCATTTCTCCATCACCATTGTTGGTGACTTTAGCCTCTCAGTTCCTTGACCTCCCTACTTCCAATGACTTTTTTCCTACCCCACTTCAGCCACCCATTCCCATTGTCATAACCTTAACCAAGTCATCATCAGTAAATACCTCATCTCCAAAATCTCAGCTGCAAGCAATCTACTCGCTAATCACCATCTTAAATACTTCTGTTCAGCCATTTTAGTACCACCTGCTTCCATTTCTTTGCGACCTTGACTGCCTTTTTAAATTTTTTTTTCATTTTGCTATCAGTATCTTTCTCCTGTTCATTTCCTACCTCATCCAGTTTAGATTTCAAACTTCATTGTTCTTATCCCTCCCTTGCAAGCACTCTTAGCTAATACCCTTCTTCCTTTGGTCATACTTGCTTGGAAAAGTGATAACCTTGGTTAAATCCACCTTCACTTCCTCTAGGCCTGCATTTGTACAAATAAACATTGAAGGGAAAAAATACACATTTGTGCTGGCAAACCTTTACTTTCATGACCACAAATTTCAAATGTGCATTCATACTGCCCATCGCCTCTGCCACACTTCACTGTGTTTGCTTTTCACTTCTCCAAGGACAGGTTCATACCTCCTCCTATTTGCTCAAGCCTCTCGAACCCCGCTCGATTCCCCTTCAGTTTCAGCTCTTCATACTTCATGGAGAAAATAGAAGCTGTCCAGTAGGAACTCTTCCTCATTTCCCCCTGCCAAATCTTCTTAGTTCTGAATGAATTGAAGCTCTCTGCCTTCCTTCCTGGTTCCAAAAGTATCTCTGTTTTATCAAAGGCCATCCCCCTGCTTGGTTTGGGATCCCATCCACTCTCATTCTCATAGTCTTTGCTCCTACAACTACTTCTCTCTTTCTCCTCCTTCATAATTTTCTTCTCTCCTGGCTCATTCCCATCAGCGTACTTCATGCTGTAGTAACTCTTACACTTTAATACCAATCGCTTGACCCCCAAAGCTACTCTGCCATAGTTTTCTCTCTTTCACAGCAAAATTGTGGAGAAAGTTGTTTGTAGTTGTTCCCTTTCTTGTCTTCTAATCTCTACTTAGTCTCCTCCAGGGTGATTTGGATTTGCATATTCTACAAGGACTGATCCTGTCATAGTTACCAAAGTCCTGTATTTTGAATGGCCATTTGACCTCTGAACAGCAGTTCTTTTTTCTTCTCATGGCTTCTACAACAGCAGTTTTGATTGGTTTCAAATATTTATTCCTCATGAAAGTGCTAGGAATTAAATGATATTATTATCCCAATTTTTCAAAGGAGGAAACATAAACTAACCCCAAAGCTAGTATTTGGTGAAATCAAAACTCAAATTTAACTTTTTTCTATCCACATCTTATTCTGATTCCACTATACTCTATCACTTTTTCTAAGAGCTCCTATACTTCCATTTACTATGAGCTCTAACTGAATTGTAAATTAATCTGTTCCTCTGATACAGTGGTTCTCAACCTTCTGGCCCTTTAAATACAGTTCCTCATGTTGTGACCCAACCATAAAATTATTTTTGTTGCTACTTCATAACTGTAATGTTGTTACTGTTATGAATCGTAATGTAAATATCTGATATACAGGATGGTCTTAGGTGACCCCTGTGAAAGGGTCGTTCGACCGCCAAAGGGGTCGCGACCCACAGGTTGAGAACCGATGCTCTGGTACAGTAAACTGGGGCCAGCTGGAGGCGGTGATTCCTTTCCCCCTCCCCTCTACTTCCTGTGTCAAACCTAGGGTTCTCAAATGTGTTGGGGCTTATTATAAGCCACTAGAATTTAAAATTCCATAATGCCAACTAAGAACTTCTTTACTAGTAGGAAATATGTCATAGTAAAATATGATTGTATAGAAACATGGGAAGTGACTATAAAAGGTAGTATGTTGTGGTAAGGAGTGGCTGTCATGAATTAGTCAAGTTCTTGAAAACCAAGGGCATTTATGAAGAGGAGACCTGATATATAGACCACAAAACTTAGAGAAATTCCAACCTGAGGGTGATTAAGCAGGTAGTTCACAGCTTCTTCAAAGTACTCCAGGTGGAGGGTTTCTATGCTCTTGGGGAGGTCTTCATAGCCATAATAAGCCAGAGCCATCACAGCAAAACCCTTCCCAGCCAGTAGACTAGCTCGATATTCTGGAAGGCCACCTCCAACTCCAAAAATGTCCACAATCCCAGGAAAGGGTCCGGGTTCTTTGAAAGAAACAAAACACAAAACTAAACTATTCTTGAAACACTTTTTTAAAAAAAATTAATTTTAGAGAGACAAGAAGGGAGAGAGGGAGAGATAGAAATATTTATTGGCTGCCTCTTGCACACCCCCTACAAACCCACAACCTGGACATGTGCCATGACCTGTAATCTGGTGCGTGGAAGGACACTCAACTGAACCACATCAGCCAGGCTATCACTGAAACTCTACAGCAGGCATGTCAAACTCAAAGGCTAACACGGGCCAAATAAACAAGGTTTAAGTTTACATAGGCCGCAAAAAACCAAAAGCTTCAATTTTCATAGAAATGTAGGTTTGTTTCGATAGAGACATGCTGAATACAGAGGGCTGAAATAAATGAGTAATCGTTAACATAAAATAATAGAACATTTTAATAAAAATTAATATTTTTTCTTGAACATTAACTTACCAGACACTGAATAACTGCACAGATTAATAAGCATATCACAAATAAACCTATTTTTCTTGTTCTCCAAAAGCAAAATATTTCCTGTTGCGCACACCAAACAAGTCAGCCCAAGACTAATGACATGGCAATCGGCTGCTAAAATATTCGCTGCTAATATTAGTGGAGAGAAATGGTGCGCCTGCACGTAAGGTGAGTAAGGGAAGTGAATGCAACACGATTATAGTAATCAGTCATTAGTGAACATTGTAGTTGGTTATTAATAATTATGTATAACAGGATACTGTAAAAATTAAGTTATGAAATTTGTATTAAAACGTTTCTTACATACCGTTAGCTGTGTCGCAAAAATATTCGTTGTGGGCTGCATGTGGCCCGTGTGCCATGAGTTTGACATGCTTGCTCTACAGTGATGTCAAAAGCCAATTGTTGCCTACTTGGTAATGTCAAAGTTGTCTTAATAATCAGAAATGCTGAAAGACCCTTGGTCTTTAAAGATCCAGACAATGGCATAGACTAAATCCATATTCCCCTCTATACTCAGAGCCTCAAAGCCCCACAGATTTTTACAAAGATTATGTATTACTTTGTGGTTAAAAATAATTTATAGACAATGAAAACAGCAAAATCATTGCCATCTCCCCCAAAATTGACAATGCCAAATGCTAGTGAGAGTGCAGAGCAATTGGAACCCTCATACATTGCTGGTGAAAATGCAAAATTGTACAGCCACTTTGAAAAACAGTAGGGCAGTTTCCTATAAAGTTAAACATAAACTTACCATATGATCTAGCAATCTCACTCCTAGGTATATTTGCCAAGGAGAAATGAAAATTTGTGTCCACACAAAAACTTGTATGCAAGTGTTTGTAGTGACGTTATTCATAATCTTCAAAGATTTGAAACCCAAATGTCCTTCAAGCGGTGAGTGGATAAACAACCATATAATGGAGTACTACTAACCAGATACATCGAGCAACACAAATGAATCGCAAATGCATTATGCTAGACAAAAGGCTACATACACTGTATGATTCCATTTCCTGGGTACTTTCAACATTTACAGAAAAAGCTTGTATCTAACGTGCAAAATTTAAAGAATAATAATAAAGAAAACACTTTGTATCTACAATTTTAAAAAACTCAGTACTGAGCATCAAAGGCCCCTGAATATCTGTGCTCCTTACCTTCCTTTCCACTGTCTTGGCTTTTATTCTCTTGATTTTCTTTACCATATTACCACTTATGTGTGCGTGTGTTAAACAGTAATTTGTTTATTGTGCCTATTTTTTGAATTTTATCTCCATGGAATGAAATTGAATGTATTCTGGAATTTGATTGTTTCATTCAACAGTTTTTGAAGTTCATTCATGTTGACTCTTGTGGCTGTAGTTCAAACACTTTGCTGCTGTAAACATACCTTAATTTATCATTTTTACTGTTTTTGGACATTTG